CTATAGAATAGATGAAGCTTTTGTCCTTGGGTGCTCATGTCCCAGGAGAAATTTGATAGTCGGCCCATCTCCGAGGCCGTCGGGGAGTCAGATTCAGATAAGCTTGATTCTTGTTTTTCTTCAGGCAGACAGATTACTTTTTTCCAGCCTTGAGTCCATCTGGACGTTCTGGTTCCAAAATGCCTAATTGTGGGATTCCATTCCACTGATCCGTGCTATGAGTCTCCTTCAAGGTCGAACCCACCACGCTGACGAGTCCCAGAAGCCGCAGGTGGTCTGCGATTCTTATAAATCGCCTCCACCTTATGGTTAAGCTCGTAAACCAGATGATTTAAAGTTCCTACTGCACGGACCAAACCTTCACACTGACTTGGAAGCTTTTCCATGGCTGAAACTGCTGCCGATGTCTTTTTCAAAAGTTGATAAAACAGAGCACCGCCGATGCCAAAACGCAGAGTCCCTGCTATCATAATTCCAAATATGTAAACATCTTCAACATCCTCCAGAGACAGAACTGAGAGGCACATCAGCTGCCACACTCCCCATGGATCCATGACGTACCCCACAGCGTGAGTCTCAGCTGGACACGCCGGTTCTCCAGGACCTTGTCGCTTTGATGAAAAATCTTATCAATAGAGTTGAACGCCCACGATACCAAATCCATAATCTTCTTAATTTATGTTCGGGAGATGAGACCCAGGCACTTCAGACACACAGAGAGCAGAGCAGGAAGAAGGAAAAACGGGGGAGGAAAGACAGAAGCAGACACCTTGATGAGAACCAGGGAGGAAAAAAAATAAAATAAATAAATATATAAATTTAAATATTTTCTTGTGTATGCATTTTATCATATTTTGTCCGTATGCCAACTTTCAGTATGAAAGCTGCACAGTGTTTTACATGAGGCCCCAGGTGATGCTGATGAGTATGCTTGCATGAATGTGTATTAAAAAAATTAATACAGCTGCCTGCATTGGTTAAATAAATTTGTAAATATTTTCTGACATTTTCTCCACAGGAACCTATTTGGACCTGTTCTCGGTTCATCACCGGCTCAGAATTCAAATGTTTTAGCCAACATGCAGCCTGGCTTTGGAGGTGGTTCATCGCTGTTTTTACTGTTGACTACAAAATTAAAATACGTTTTTTTGTAAACGACTTATCTGAAAGACTCATTTTGTGACTCGTTCATCAGCTGTGCCATCTACAAACCCTTTTGTTGCCGCAGCGATAGCCCCAGAGATGGCCACCAACCCGTTCCAGGCCAACGGCAGAGCTCCAGCTGCAGGTGAGTATAGCTAGGTACCTATTATCCATGGTACTTGGTTATTAGTTTAACTTTGATGTAACTCTGTTACATGAAGTAGTTATGTGATGCGTCAAAGTGTCTAAAGTACGTGTGTGTGTGTGTTGTATGTGTGTGCTATCACCGTACACACATGATGTGTGTGTTTTGTAGCCTCGTTTGGTACTGGCTCTATGAGCATGCCTGCCGGCTTTGGGAATGCGTCTTCCTACTGCCTCCCGACCAGTTTCAGCGGAAACTTCCAGCAGCAATTCCCTGGCCAGGTCCCCGTCCCTTACACTCAGCCGGGGGCCTATCACCCTCAGTCTAATGGTTAGTGCCCCTCCCCTCTCCTGTTGCACCTGTGCACTACCTGCCAAGAATTTAAAACAATTTGCTGGTCATGTATTTTCTGTCGTGAACTGTATTTTGTATACACTCAATGGCCCTCTGAATTTAAAAACAAAATGAAGACGTTGCTGAATACTGGCAGCTACTGCACAGTTATACAAGGTTGCATTCAGGGTGCAACACTTTAGGGTTCTGTTCATACCCAGATACACAATCCAACTGATCTGGAATGACTCGTAAACCTCTGTTCACGCCTGAATGCAATCTATGCTGGGGTTTTACTCATTGATTTTTTTTTTCTTCTGTACATCCCTATTCCTCTATAATTTTCTAAAAGTTAACCATGATAATTTCACTTGTAAAATTAATTTGTCTGCGGTTCAGTTACATGATCCCTGTTCCCTTTATCACCCGTAGGCCCTGCCTTCCCCGTCTACGGTCAGAACAAGCCTTCGATTACGCCCTTTGGGCAGCCTGTGGCTGTCCCTGGCATGTCTAATAACCCATTTATGGTGAGCATGCATCATCTTCTGTTTTTCCTTTTTTGTTGTCATCAGAAGAAACTATTTCTGTTGAAAGTTTAGTAATAATAAAAAAATCCACCCACTAAACTCTAGGGTTTTATGTGTCAGGACATAGTAAAAAGATCAGTTCTCTTTTTCATTTCCTAATAATTACTCTATTCTACAGGCTTCACCTAGTTTGATGATTGTTGAAATGACTTGTGTGAAAGGACTGCTGTAGCGAAACATCTTCATTCTTAAAAACATGGAAGCACGACTTGGGTTTGTAACATTGAATCTGAACTGAGCAGAAACCAATGTCTGCAAACCTCAATGAACTGTAGCAACACTGAAAAGGAGAGTGGGCCAAAATTCCTCTACAACCATGTGAGAGACTGATAATGCTGTACAGAAAACCACAGCTGAGCGTTACTGCTGCTAAAGAAACGTTCTACAATCTGCTGGACTAAGGTGTTCACACACAGCATTATTTTTGTTTAATAAATTGACACCAGACCAGAGGTGCCCAGACTTTTTCAGCATGTGAGCTCCTTTTAAAATGACCAAGTCAAAGTGATCTACCTACTATAAGGCTCCGTTTACATGGGAACAACCTCTGAACGTTAGTGTTTTTTCAATGTTTATTGGGGGTAATAAACAAAAATGAGCTGGTTTATATGAAAACGCTGTGGTTTCCATGTCAGTCAGGTTGCCAGATAAGAAATTATGAACTATAATACTGTGGCTTTAAAATGATAGTATTTTGACCTAAACTGTCATATGTGCTGAGTAAAGATATTCTAAGATGAGGTGTAGGGGTGGGCAATATTGCTCAAATATAATATTGTGATATTTAGGGGAGTGGTGGTGCAGAGGTTAGAGA